CAAAAAAAAAATGAAAAAAACGCGAGTGATTTTGTGGATTCAGGGCATTATAAATCATTATATTTCCTTGTTTCAATATTCGGTTGTGAACATATTACCTTACTCACTGCGGTTTGTTAGTGTAACCATTCCCTCAAATTAAACTTCGGCACACATATTTTCTATTAAACTTCTTAATTCAAACACTTTTCCACATTTGCAGAGCACAGATTCAATTTAGTTACACATTGAATCGGCTTTCACATTTTTTTTCGTGTCTCAAATAGTTTGATTTGCTAACTCATCACACTAACAACCACCTGAGTTTCGAGGATCTTAACCTCATTTATTATTGTATTTTGGTTTTGCACAGATTCGAAGCACTTTATCGCTGTAATATCGCTTCCACAAAATCACTTTTCGCGCGATATAACCTTTGGATAAAAAATATACACGTTTTGTCCGCATTTCAAACATATCCTTCCATTGGACTTGGGTGTGAGTTGGGTGGCGACCATCTTCTGTAAATACGTACATATATATATAAGTGCAAATACATACATACACATGCACATACAAACAAAAATAAATAAATAAATTTATACTTTCGCTTAAATTCCGTTGTTATAATCTTTCGATTGTGGTGATTTTTCGCTTTGTTTACAACATTCCAAAAAGTACCTAGTTAAGTTTTCGTTTCGCCTTTGGGTTTTATTCACTAACCAAATAAAGTATGAATAAATTTATTCGCTTGGCAGACGCTGTGACAGAGTTTGAGGCCGACTACAATGACACGGCCCAAGCTGATCACACTAAGTACACTCTTGCTATTCAGCAAGAGGAACTTAAAGTTATATGGAGGAAGGTAAAGACAGCGTATGAGGAACTAGTACATTCCGATAGGTTAGACGCCACAGGAGTTGCCACTGTGAATCCTAAGTACAAATCCTCCTATGCTGTATACTTGCGCTGCATGTCAAACATGGCAGAACTCCATGCAAAGTTCGTAAAGAATGACAAAGATGTTGAGGATATGTCCGCCCGAGAACAAAATATGCAACTTCCTCCGTGCGATACGGACATATTCAAAGGCGACTATCTCACATGGCCCACGTTCCGAGATATGTCTACGGCCATCACATACTCAACAAACGCCTCACTCCTGTGGAAAAATTGTTTCACCTATCCGAGTCGGAATCGCATCGGAATCGGAATTCAATTCCGACTCGGAATTGAAATGGTGTTCCACAATCTGATCGGAACTTTTGTTTCGAAGTTAATATCGAATCCGATCGTGTAAAAAAGGAACAAACCTTCAATCTGTCAACTTAGTTTTGAAGTGTGTCAATTTCATTTGGATAAATAAAACCGAGAAAATAAACATGAGTTCAATTATTTTATTGGCGATTTTGCTGAATAATGAGCAGCAAACATCTGAAAAGTGAAGCGAAAAATTTTGCGCGATCGCAGCGATCCCATGGAATTACCGGACTCAGCGTTAGTAGTATAAAAAGTTTTTTTTTTATACTAACGCCATTTCAAACTATTAATTTATATTTTACAGTTTATTGCACTCTTTAGAATAAATAAACAAGCTTGCAGCCTTTTGCACAGAGAAGCTTCATTCCCGCAGTGTTAAAATTGTGAGCAACGCTGCGATTCCTCACCGAAGGTGGGTATCAAAGGTCTGTTGGAGTGGACTCAAGCATTGCTTTGGGAAGGATCCCCGTCTCCAAGACAATTTCATAAATACGCTCATGGAGCGGAGGCTTTGCTCAAAGTGGATAAAATTGTTCATCTCTGAGCAAGAGAAAAGAGCCGCCAAAAGTTCTTTGTACGAACAATTTGGAATTCCGGGTGTGATTGGATGTATTGACGGCACGCACGTCAAGCTATTGCAACCATAAGACGGGTCGGCTTTTTTTAACCGAAAGGAAATTTGATCATTGCTGCAATGATTGTAAGTTGCCACAATTACTTGATTTTATACGAAAAAAGTTTTCGTAAAATTTGTTTATTTATTTATTTCAGATTTGCGATCATAATATGGTTATTAGAGCTATTGATGCTTGTCATCCCGGTTCTAGCCCTGATTCCTTTATATGGAGCATGAGCAATGCAAGGCACTTTTTCATGACGAAGTATCGAGATGGTGATCACAATTCGTCGTTATTGGGCGATGCCGGGTATGCTCTGGAACCTTTTCTATTAACACCGTATAGAAATACAGAGCCACTGTCTATACAACACGCGTTTAACAAAACACATTCTTCGGCATATAATATAGTTGAACGAAAAATTGGGGTTTTTAAAGCTCGTTTTCGGTGTTTATTAGGATGTACTTTTTAAATGGGTCGCCTCCGGTAGCCACGGCCTCTCTTCTGTTGTGGGCCAATTTCTTCCTCACTTCACTTTTCCAGTCAGTCCTGGTCTAGTTGCAAAAAATCTAAATATTATTTTTGTCCTTATAATCGCAATAATATTTTACCTTCTTCCACTCGTTTGTGTTTTTTATTGGTGGTCTTTGGCTATTCAACGACTCCGTTAGTTGGCGCCACTTTTCCTCAAGAGCCACTTTATCTCCTTTGAAAAAGCTCTTGGCTATGTCTGGATTTATTTCCATGAAGTCCAGCATATTTTTGCTTTGCTCCGCCGTCTTGTGCTTTCCCCTGCATTTTAATAATTTTAATTTTAATAATTACCACTTTTATTTTCTTTACTTACATCTTTTGCTGTTCGCTGACTTTAAAATCTTTCCTTTGACCGTTAACAGATATATTTTTCTTTTTCGTTTTGATTATTTTCTATTCCACTGGCTTTTAGCTGATCGGAACATTTCCGATAAAATATTTCCGATAATCGGAATGCAGAACATCAAATTTCCGATAGAATTCCGATTCGAAGTGGATCGAAATGTAGAACAAGGCCGAATCGGAAATAATTTCCGATTGTCGGAATGCAGAACACCAACAATTGGAAACAAATCCGATTCCAATTCGAATCGGATTGCAGAACAGGGCTGAGTGAGTAAATGTCCATTGACTAACGATGGCTTTCAAACTGTCTGGAAAAATGTGAGTGATAGATATGAAAATAAACGTATCCTCGTAAATGCCCAATTAAAGATTCTGTTCAACTTACATGCGGTATATAGCGAGTGCGGTAGCTCCATCAAACAATTGCAGCGAGATATTAATAATTGCATCTCGACATTACAGATTGACACATCAAACTGGGATGCAATCATTACATATCTCTGCTCAACGAAGTTACCAGAAACTACATTAGCGTTGTGGGAGCAAAGTATTGAAAGCAAAACTGAAATATCCAAGTGAGAGGCCATGGATAACTTTCTTTCACAGCAGTTTCAAACTCTAGAAACCGTTTCAGATACAAGAAGCATTAACCTAACCCCACTGCAGAGCCGCACAGTAGTAGGCATACAAACGAAACTCCACAAAAAAGATTTAAGTCTTACCAAACGAGTGTAGCCGAGACAATTTGCAAGTTTTGCCAAAGCAACGAGCACAAATTACAAAGGTGCCAAAAATTCCTTAAGCTAACAGCAGAAGATAGAATCGCTTTCGTTAAGAGCATTCACAGTTGCTTGAACTGTCTATCCTCTAGACATACGGTGTCAAGGTGCAGTAGCTCCTTCAATTGCAGAACCTGCCACCTGAGGCACCATACATCACTTCATGTTCAAGCATTTCAACCAAAAGAAACTACTCCAACTAATAAGTCGAATCACACATATGAAAGCGCATCTACGCAGGCTCAAGCAAGGCGTGATGCAAATGCAAATATTAAGTCAGCAGATAACATTCAACCTTGCTTTGCTAATACGAGGAAAGGGGTTCTATTAGGAACAGCGCGTGTCAATATAAATTTTAATAATACTAACTTTTCTGCCCGCGCATTAATAGATTCCGGTTCAGAAGCCTCTTTTATAACAGAAAGTCTTAAACGTAAAATCAACCTGCCCTCGAAGAGAATGCGTGCCCAGGTATCAGGCATCAACAACAGTGTTTCTGTACAAGTAAAAGAAACGTGCGTCATTCAACTGCGGTCACCCATTGACCCTTCAACCAGTATAAGTACGCAAGTCCTAGTTCTACCACGACTCACCGGAAATTTACCGACTTGCGAAGTAAAAGCCAAGACTAAGCAAGTGTTTCCGGGCCTTCTCTTAGCGGACAAGAACTTCTTCAAAAATTAACAAGTTGATCTTATCTTGGGCGGCGATATATATGCCCAGATAATA